AGTATAATGCACCAAGAATAATAAGGGGGCATACAATGATAAAATTTCACTACTTTTGCCATCAGTGGATCTGATTGACAGGCATTTCTTTCAAAGGGCAGATTTACTGCAAATATACAAAATGTAGTAATTAAAGTAATTGCTGCAATGCATTAATTAATTGTATGCCTGGGCATCCAGTTCTTAGCCTTCCTAGGAGAGATGGGCTTGGTTTGCTGGTTCAGAAGTTCATCAAGGTTCTTTTCCTGGCTGAACTGCTGATCCGCAGTTTGGTGCCCCACCCCCTCCAGCAGGCCACTCAGCGACAGTCTTGAGGAGGCAGGGCAGACCCACACCCATCTAATGGCCAGGCCACTACTTTGGGGGCTTACAGTAACAGGGGCATGAAATAAGATTCAATAATAATCAACATTAATTTAAACAACAAATAAACAATTTTAAAAAAATCATAAAACTAACTATATAAAAGCAGCTCATACAAAAGATGGTGGCAAAAACAGGGCTAGAGGAATGTAATGGAATCTTACAAATTTGAGGAGACAAAATTAATCAGGGGTATGGCAGTGGACGTGGTGGCGCTGCGGGCTAAACATTTGAGGAGATTAATCAGGGGTATGGCAGTGGACGTGGTGGCGCTGCGGGCTAAAGCCAGAAGCCTGTGCTGCAGGGTCAGAAGACCAAGCAGTCGTAAGATAGAATCCACGCGACGGTACGGTGTGCCGTCGCTTGTCCCAGCTACCGCCAACCTAGCGGTTCGAAAGCATGCAAATGCAAGTAGATTAATAGGGACCACCTCGGTGGGAAGGTAACAGCGTTCTGTGTCTAAGTCGCACTGGCCATGTGACCATGGAAGATTGTCTCCAGACAAAAAACGCTGGCTCTATGGCTTGGAAACGGGGATGAGCACCGCCCCCTAGAGTCGAACACGACTGGACAAAAATTGTCAAGGGGAACGTTTACCTTTATCTTTTATGGCAGTGGAAGGCATGGGTGAACAGCCACGTCTTCACTTGTTTTCCAAAGCTAAGGAGGGAATGGACCTGTCACACCTCTACCAGCAGAAAATTCCACAATGCAGTGGCCACCATGGAGAAAGCCTGGTTTCAAGTTGTTGCTTTCCAGGTGTCTCTAGGGGTTGCCACTTGTAACATCACGGATTGGGAGATGCAGATGAGATGGAAGGATATTCTGGGAGAGGCATTCAGACAAGTAGCTAGGTCCTAATTGTTTAGAGCTTTGAATGTTGACATCAGCACCAGTAAAGACTGGGGACTAATTTTCAAAGGGATAGTGAAAATACTTCAGACTTCAGTCCAAACTACAAAGGAACTATCCAAGGTGCTGAATTTATGCTGGTGGTAGGGTTCAGCTCCTTACAGCTCATGAAAAGTTTGGAGTAAAAATTGGAGCAGAAATTTGAATCATCAGCCTCTACTGCCACCACCAGTAAAAGGTCTTTTCTATAATAACCATGTAACTTGTCTCCTTTGGAAGGGGCACTAGATACCTGTCTCCTGATACCCCTCTCCCCTGCACCTGGCATTTTGAGGTACCTTCCTTTTAAGCTTGGAGATTGTATATCCCCATCATGCCTTGTAACTTGCAATAGACTTTTCCTCCAGGAATCTTTCCCTCCCCTTTTAAAGACATCTAGGCCAGATGCCAGAAGGATGTGGTGGCACAGCGGGTTAAACCACAGAAGCCTCTGTGCTGTAAGGTCTGTAGATCTTCAGCTGTAAAATCGAATTCACATGACGGAGTGAGCGCCCGTCGCTTGTCCTGTCTCCCGCCAACCTAGCGATTTGAAAGCATGCAAATGTGAGTAGATAAATAGGGAACACCTTGGTGGGAAGGTAACAGCATTCCGTGTCTAAGTCACTGTGGCGATCCCCCTTTGTGCCCTTTATATCTTTGGGCTCTACAAAGGTAAATACGCCCTTTGATTGTTCTGCGCATGTCTAAAATGTGTTTTCACTAATCCAATGAATTGTTGCTAACTAACTTAATGACCTCAAAGGCCCACCCCTCTCGCCCTGAGGGGACAGCTATAAGACTGTACCAATTCCTTTGTTCTTTGAAGAAATCCTAATCACCCACAATTAAGGTGAAATTGGTTTTTCTTCCCACCAACTGCAGTGGTGTTTTGTTTGTTTTGTTCTCATGTAAATAAAATGAACTTCAATAGAAAAGCCTTCGTGTCTCAGTCTTTTGCTTAAGGTAAATTGTTTGGCATAACAATTTGGGGGCTCGTCCGGGATCTCTAAACGCCCCGCTCTCACTCCAACTGTCTTTAACTGTCTCTTCCAGCTGTCTTAACTGTCCTTTTAGCTCCGCCCCTCCTGCCCTATCCTCTGATTGAAAGGCTGGAATGATGTCACCTTTTTGCAATCTGCTACAGTCACACTGGCCATGTGACCATGGAAGATTGTCTTTGGACAAATGCTGGCTCTATGGCTTGGAAATGGGGATGAGCACCGCCACCTAGAGTTGAACACGACTGGACAAAAACTGTCAAGGGGAACCTTTACCTTTAGGCCAGATGCCATCACCACATCCTATGGCACAGAGGTCTACAGACTAACAAACATCCAAATAGATGTGTGTATGTGTGTAGGCCAGTAAGATATGACGTGATCTGATCATGCCAGTAAACAGTTTTCTTCCCCAATTGTTGATTATGAACCAGGCCCAAACATTTCTTCTTTCAAGAAGCCATTACCATTTTAAATCTGGGAGCTAGCCAATTGGACTTCATAGGCAGGTTACCACTCTTTGGTGGAATTTCCTGATTACTTGCTGTTAAATAACAGCTTATACCCTGTTTCCCTGTAAATAAGACCTAACCTGAAAATAAACCTTACTATGATTTTTCAGGAAGCTTGTAATATAAGCCCTACCCCGAAAATAAACCCTAGTTAAGTGAAAACCCACCATCATCCATTGTGCAGCAACCAGAAGATGTCTTTCTTTCTTTCTCTTTCTTTCTTTCTTTCTTTCTTTCTTTCTTTCTTTCTTTTTCTTTCTTTCTTTCTTTCTTGATTGATTGATTGATTGATTGATTGATTGATTGATTGTATTTATACCCCACCTCTCTAGTTGAATGACTGAATAAACATAGATTCTACATAAAAAGCATCCCCTGAAAATAAGCCCTAATGCATTTTTGGAGCAGAAATTAATATAAAATCCTGTCTTATTTTTGGGGAAACAGGGTATCACTAAGCTTGGAAACTTAATTTGAAGCAGAAGGCAAGAAAGCAGCAGCATACACTGATGTTTGAATCAGCTTGTATCACATGTGCATGAGTGACATGAATACATAAAGTTTCACAGCTACAGGAAGTTACCATTAAATACATAGTTATGGATAACCTCTCAAAAGTCCACAAAACAAGAACATACACTGGAAACCGAGAATTCCTTTCCGTTCCAAAAAAAGCTAATCTGTATTCTACTCCATAAGTGTATATTTTATCTTCACATTACAGCAGCCAAACCTTTCTAAGCAAGAAAGCCTATCACAAAAACTACAAGCAATATACATGGAAGTCTGACCTGGAAAAACAATATATCTGAATTATAATAAAATCATGTTTATTTTTGTTCAAAATTGCTTTAAAAATGGCATCAAAAGTAAGATATTAGATACTGTTCCATTCCCAGACATCCTATCCGATCCTAGATTCACTTAAGAACCTTTCCAGCAGCAAACACATACGAAGTCTCCACCCAAAAAGACTGAAAAGTTTCAAGAACAGTTTCAAGAGGGAAAATTAGAGCTTGGATGCAACCACTTAGAAATAACTAGTTATTTGTAATGATTTCATATTTCAATATTAATGTGGGATGTGGTAGCGCTGTGGGTTAAACCGCAGAAGCCTTTGTGCTGCAAGGTTGGAAAACCAGCAGTTGTAAGATTGAATCCACGGGTCAGAATGAGCTCCCATCACTTGTCCCAGCTCCCGCCAACCTAGCAGTTTGAAAGCATGTAAAAATGCGAGTAGATAAACAGGTCCCACCACGGTCGGAAGGTAACAGCGTTCCGTGTCTAGTCGCGTTGGCCATGTGACTATGGAAACTGTCTACAGACAAAACACTGGCTCTACGGCTTGCAAATGGGATGAGCACCGCCCCCTAGAGTCGGACACGAGTGGACATTTGTCAAGGGGAACCTTTACCTTAATATTTCAATAAATATTACATGACTTGAGTTGTATCACTCCATCCTTTTTGGCAGGCAGCTTTGATACACCACAGTTTATCATGAGAATCATCCCAATGGTCGGCCTCATTTTAATTACATCACTCCCGAACTGCTGGAAACGTGATTATGCTGAATGATGCTGCAGAACTTCACTGTTAGGACAGAAAACCTACACACATGATCCCAAAGATCCACTGTTCCAGACAGCTTTCAAAGAGGTAGCCATATTACTTTGTTTCAGTGTGTGCCAACAAAAGTGGAACAAGAAGAAAAGCACTCTGGTATCTTAGAGAGTTTTAAAGTAGTATTTAAGATGGCAGTATTTTTGTTCATGTTAATGATGCTCTGGATAAGAGCAGCAACAAGAAAACACTGCACACTGGTAGTTCTTGCCACAGAGATAATTAGCCTGTCTCCTTTCCCAGTAAGTAACCAAATCCACAAAACTCTGAAATTCATCGGTGGCATAATCTAGGCAAAATATAAAAAATATAGCCCGGCCGTATGATACAATTAATGGCAACTGAAAAGGATATATTTCCCTACCAGGAATAAATTTCTTGCACTTCTAGTTCACCGGCCACACAGTAACTGCCACCAAACAACTCAAACCCAATCATTAAGAGGAAACAAGCTCAGTCATAAAGAGAAAGGAAGGACAACCTACAGGTTACATACTACCAATTGTGTTGGTAGTAACACAAGCCAACATATTACTGCCTTCACATAAGGTTTTTCCCTAAGTAGAACCAAACTGTTGTAAAATTTGGAGCTTGCCAACAGGGCAAATACTTACAGCTGAAGATTCTTGGAGGTGGATGCTCTGTTACAAGAAGGCAATTCTCTTCATCACTGTTATCCCCACAATCGTTTTGTTGGTTACAGACCAGCGAGCCAAGGTACAAGCATTTACCACTCGTGCAGGTGAATTTGCACTCTGGAAAAGGTACAAGAAAAGAAAAGGACATGTAAAGACATTCTAATTTTCCTTGCCATGTTTACACAAGAGTTAAAAACTAATGTAAAGAATTGAGCTCCATATGTGAGTTAGGAGTGTAAAGGCTTTTTGTTGTTCAACCCATGATTACCATATTCCATAAAGTTTAACAGTCATTTAAATTACACAGTTCTACAGTTTCAGAACTACAACATGAACCACACAAAACGTTTTTCTTAGAGACGGCCTGATTGCCAGAAAATTTTCATCAGTTCCCTTATATTCCCATGGGGGGAAAAAACCACAGGCCTAGGCCAGAATCCTATCTGTTCCACAAGTCCAATAGCCTATCTTCAGAGCTTGAACAAGAAAGATCCAACAGCTCCTTTGGAAGTTTAAGGTCCTTTAGTTCACCAGGCTTGTCTCCCAACCTGAACAACCAGAGATGGTGTGAGGGGGTCACTTCTGGTGCTCTTGCTGGGCCATCTGCTCCTACTCCGTACCTCCTGGAAAGCCTGTTGCAACCATCTTCTGCAGGGCCCCAAGTAAGTGCTGAGGATGGTCAGCCGGCTTAGGGCTGGGAAGGAGAGTTGCTTGATGAGGGTCACTTTACTTTCTCTGCTGGAGAAAGTAAAGCTGGAAGAAGAGCAAGGCATAAGAGAGAAACAAAATCAAGGACACTCAGAGGCAGCCAAGGCACGGAGGCTGGAGAAGCCCATCTGGAAAGGAGGGTGAGGGCACCTGGGGTAACATGGTGGAGGTGCAGGAGGAAGCTCCATACAGGAAGGGAATCCTTGATTATACCCTGGTTGAGGACCCCTGGGCTGGAGTCCTCATGGAGCTCCAATTCCCACATGGCAGGGGACAAGGAAGGGGCTGGAAACTGATTCTCTGCCAGCCTCAACCTGGGGCCCAATGCCAGTGAGGATGTCCATCTTCTTCTAACCACTCAACCCTGATTCCAACCCAGAAGCAGCAGATGTGGCACAAATGGCAGAAGGACAGATAGCAATACCTCTAGGAGGCCTTAGGATGATCAGCGGCAAGACTGTATATCACTTTGAAGGGAGCGAGTTGCATGTCCTGGGTCACTGGACTTTAATCTGGGCCAGTCCCAATAGCATTAACTGGCATTTCTAGAAGAGACATGTGGGATCCTGGGCTAATGAAGGGAGAGCCTAGGAGAGGACTGAGCGATGGCAAAGGCAACTTTGTCTTGAAAGATCCAACAATAAAGACAATTTTTCATCCTACTCTGAGTTTACAGCCCAAGGAAGTAACAGCAGCAGGAACTGGCCCCATCACCTGACCTAGCTTGGGATGGTGGAGTGCACAGATGTAACCAGCAATTTTGACATCCAGGGATTTGTTACTCTATTGGTTAAGCATGAATCATATGAGAGGGGCTTATGAGGGGAGAGGATGGAGGAATGGGGAGAAGTGCCTGGATCTGTGTGTGAAACGGCTATAGAAGTTCTTCATTGAACCCTCTTGTTTTCTGCTCTTTCTTGCTTTGGAATGAAGCACTAAGGATGCTACACATACATAGTTTGGGTGGGTTCATGCTCTTCCAGCAGCAATACCAAAGGTTGTATGCATAGCCTTCCCATAGCAAATATCTCCAACCTCCACTCTGCTTATGGCTCTGTGTGCAACAGCAAGTCAGATCACAGAACAGCACAAATGGGATGTTACATTCTGCCCAGACTACAACGGAATTCTGGCCTTAGACAGCTATTTAAATATCCACACCACCACTGGCCAGTTTTTTATTTGCATTTTAAACACAACATCAATACTCCCTGTCACACTGATGTATTGGAAGGACTGAAGTACACCGCTGGTACTAATTCACACAGTCAGCTTACATGACAACACAATTTTCCATATTATAATTTGTGAAATGGCATATAAATGTCCTGTTTCAGATAGGCAAGTCACAGTATCAAGGTCAAGCAGTCCAATAACGGAAGATACATCATGCAAACAAACACAGTCCTACCAGAAAGTCAGATAAGCCAAGAGCAGGAGCAAAACTCCAATAACAATCTAGGGTCAAATCCTGACAGAGCAAAGCACAACAGGATTCTAACTATTTCACGGAAGCAATTGCCCAAAATACTGTATTCCAATGATTGACGTTATATTTCAGCACCTTTTCTGGCCTCTGAATGATACTTTTACATTGGAACTGCAACTCAAGATACAACTGCAGTAGATCAGATGCTTCCAGAAGCAGTCTTCCATGCAAGAATCCTGTACATTAATCTGGGTGACCTTGATGCCATTGAGAGCCATTATTTCAGATTGGCTAGCAGCCCAAGGACTATACAGTATTCCTTCCAAGAGGGGTTGTAAAAGACAAGAGAATGCTAAAGAAACTAATTTAAAATTTTTATTTTTATAACATTTGCAATTTAATACAAGACAGTAGCAAAGCTTTTATTTCAAAATATTTTAAATATTTCCCCTCAATCATAATCCTTCTCAATAAAATCATAACTTCCCTCAAAATAGTAATTAATTTAACCCTATCCCTAAACATATTTAAATAGGAGGCTAATAAAAGAAGGATGAAACATTTAAAAATTAATTTAAATGGATCTCTCATTAAACTACATTTCATAAAATAGGAAAGAGGAAATAAGCAATGTCTCTTTATGGAGAAAGGAAGTTTCCATCAAGGAAGAACAGCAATTAATTGAAGACTTTCTTCAACAATTAAGACAATTTGCCTGGTTTTAGGTGGTTTAAGAAAGAAAGCTCAATACTTTACAAATTTAATATATTTAAAGAGCAAAATTGTGGGTCATTGGTTTTTTTAACTGAAGGAGAAAATCACTGTGAAGCTGCAGAAACTATGAGGGAAACCATGCCACTAATTAATTATCAGTGGCTATTTTAAAAAATGTTGATAACATCCCTGTAGAATTGCTGAGGCCAGTAATGGCAATTATTAGAGTCTTGTGCCAGAAAGTTTGGGACACCAACACATGGCCACAAAACTGGAAACAATCAGTGTTTATTCCTTTACTAATATGGAAACACAGACTGGTTTAAGCTAGAGAAAAGTGTGTGGTAAGGTTGCATCCTATCGCATTTCTTATTCAACTTGTATGCCGAAGTGATCATCAGAAAGCTGGAGCTAGAAGAATCAAAAACTGGGATTAAAAATTGGAGGAAGAAACATCAATAACCTTTGATATGCGGATGATACAACCATCCTCTCAGAAACCCAGGAAGGTCTAAAGTACCTGATCATGAAACTCAAAGAAGAAAGCAAGAAGTCTGGCCTCATTTTGAATATTAAAAAAACCAAACTCACGACAACTAATTGAAACATCAAAATAGCAATTGGTGGAGAAGAGGTTGAACATGTGGAAGAATTCATCTTTTAGGTAGTCAATCAAAACCCTGATTGCAGCCAAGAAATAAAATGCTGAATCATGCTAGGTCGTACAGCAATGATGATTATGAATCAAGTATAGAAAAGTAAGGATGTCAGCTTGATGACGAAGTGCAGATTAGTTCGCACTGTTGTGTTCTCCATAATTATATGTGGCTGTGAAAGTTGGATGATGCAGAAGATGGACAGAGGGAAAATTGATTCTTTTGAGCTATGCTGTTGGAGGAGGCTCTTCTGCATTCCATGGATTGCAAAGAAAACGAATAAAGAAGTGCTGAAGCACACAAAACCAGATATGTCACTGTAAGGTAAAATAACAAAATTTAGACTTAGTTATTTTGGCCATGTCATGCAATCAACATTAGAGAAAGATGTTATGCTCGGAATGGTCAGCGGTAAAAGAAGAGGGCGCCAAAGAATGTGTTGGTTGGATGTAATCAAAGCAAACACCAGCCAAAATAGAAAGCAGCTGAAAGAAGCTGTACAAAATCGGAAATCATGGAGACAGCTGGCCCATGAAATTGCCAAGGGTCAGAAATGACTGAATGGATAATCTGATTCAATCTTTTTTTAAAAATTAAGGGCTGAGAAAGGCTGCCAACCCTCCCCCCCCCAAAAAAAACCCAAAAATGCTTAGGGTGCCACATGTTCCCCACCTCTTCTTCAAAAAAAGTCCTCTGCTGCAGCTACGTAGGCATTTCTAGGCAAGATTCCTCTGCTCTTCCTCGTTAGGAATTATTTCTCTCAGGAATATCCTGCCTGAAGGGATTGTCACTCTTTAATTGGCCTTCTCAGCCATACTAGACACTGTTCCAAGACCTCTACTCAGAGCACATTACCACAGTCTCTTGAGACTGAAGGATGCCTAATAATGCCATGGATTCTGCCTTCCAAAACCAGCAAGAAGGTTGCCTCTCACTCACGCAGGACTTCTCATGATAGAAAAGTTTGCATTTCAAGATGTTCCTTAATTTTGGCAATTTTCACATCTAAAGGTGCTGATTACAGACTACAAATAATGTCCCTCCTTTTAGGAAGTCTGGAGGAGAATCCATAGCTCAGTGAGACAACACCTGTCTTGCAGGTACAAGATGGTGGGTTCAATTCCTCCCAAATCCAGCTTTGGCTGAAAAAAATATTGTTTGAATCCCTGAAGAGCTGCTCCCAGTCAGTCCTGACAAGACTGAGCAAGATGAAACAATGGCCTAAATCAACATGAAGCAGTTTCCATCATGTGCTTCAAAATATGCAGACAATTAATTCCCCTAATTCTGGTTTTACAAAACATATACACTCAGTTTGCATAGAAATATGTATCTTCAAATAAATTAAGTATCTTCCATTTCTAAGTTTGGTTTTACAAATTCTCTATAATGTCTACTTTATCTGAAGTATCCCTGGGCAGGAGCTGTCTGTTTCTATGACTGTTCGGAACACTGCCAGCTTTGGACAAGCCATAATAATCATTAACGCTTGTCTCTGCTTTTTTAAAAAGCTTTCAAAAGTACAAAAAGTCTCTGCTTTCATAGCATAATCTGCCAGAAACCATCCAGGCCTGTAAAATTATATCTCTGCCCACTTTTCTTAACTGCCA